TTTTAGGAATAAGCTTGATGAATCTGGAATCATTATAAGAAATAAGGCAAGGTTAGTGGCTAAGGGGTATAATCAAGAAGAGGGAATTGATTATGATGAGACTTTTGCCCCTGTAGCAAGGATAGAAGCCATTAGATTACTTCTTGCTTATGCTTCAATAATGAATTTCAAGCTTTACCAAATGGATGTGAAAAGTGCTTTTCTAAATGGTTTAATACAAGAAGAAGTGTATGTGGAGCAACCACCAGGTTTTGTTGATTTTAAGTATCCTAATCATGTGTACAAACTTAAAAAGGCACTCTATGGCTTGAAACAAGCTCCAAGATCATGGTATGACAGGTTGAGCAAATTTTTGATTGAGAATGACTATGTTAGAGGTAGAGTAGATAATACATTATTTGTGAAGAAATTTAAAAATGATACAATGTATGTTCAAATCTATGTGGATGACATTGTTTTTGGATCTACTAATATCTCTCTATGCAAAGAATTTGCTAAGACCATGCAAGGTGAATTTGAAATGTAAATGATGGGAGAGCTTACATTTTTCTTGGGGTTGCAAATCAAACAAATGAGTGATGGAATCTTTATAACTCAAAGCAAGTATTGCAATGAATTGTTGAAGAAGTTTGGTATGGAAGAGTGTAAGGAGGCTGCAACACCAATATCAAACTCATGCAATCTTGACTTGGATGAGAAAGGGATAACTGTTGACAACTCAAAATAAAGAGGTATCATTGGATCACTTTTATATTTGACAGTTAGTAGGCCTGATATAATGTTTGTTGTGTGCTTGTGTGCAAGATTTCAGGCAAATCCAAAAGAGTCTCACATGAAATATGAAAAGAGATTTCTTAAATATCTAAGAGGAACAACTAATGTAGGTTTATGGTATCCAAAAGGAGTCTCACTAAGTTTGATAGGTTATTCGGATTCAGACTATGCTGGGTGTAGACTTGATAGGAAAAGCACAAGTGGTACTTGTCACCTACTTGGAAGTGCACTTGTCTCATGGCATAGTAAAAAGTAAGCATGTGTTGCTTTGAGTACAGTTGAGGCTAAATATATAGCTTCCGGAAGTTGTTATGCACAAATCCTCTGGATGAAACAACAATTAAAAGATTATGGAACTGAACTTGAACAAAATTCCTTTGAGATGTGATAACACAAGTGCAATAAATCTAACCAAAAATCCAATTTTGCACTCTAGGACAAAACATATAGAAATAAGCCATCATTTTTTAAGAGATCATGTTCAGAAGAATGATTGTGTTGTAGAGTTTGTTGAAAAAAATAAACAATTGGTTGATACATTTACAAAACCTCTACCAAGAGAAAGATTTAATCAATTGAGAATTTAGATTAATCAAGTGAGAGAAAATTTGGGATTTAATCAAGGTAGAGAAAATTAATCTAAGGGTTATATTTTAACCCTCTCTTCCTCTCATAATAAATTCATCTGACTTGATATGCTCCCTATATATATATATATATAATTGTTGGACAAGCAACATAATTGTACATATTCATGAGATGTAGATGCGCTTATATTATTTTATGGTTTAGTATATATATGTATAGTTAGTTTTGTGTTAGGCAGTGTAATAGTTATGGCAGATCGTACAACATTCTTGTAAATATAAATCCGATCCTTAATTATCAAATAGATCAATTTTTATTATAATCCAATTCAATTGTATCTGATGACGTCTTTATTTTTGTTGATTTTAAATATTGATAACAATATGATAATCCCAATGCAAACAACTGAAACAAGCACAATAAAGATGGCGAAACTGAATTCATATAAAGTTAATCGAATTCAAGTCTTGCTGATCGAAAAGTTTTTTAAAGTTTTTACTAAAATTAATTAATTAAACTTACTTTAATGAAACTGATTAATAGTTGCAAATATAATATAATAAGGTAAAAATATATGTAGTGATACAAAATTCGAGTTGGCCTTGGATTTGAATCAAATTAAATTCAAATAGTAGAGAATGCAATTTTATACATAAGCTAGTATCTATCTTTCTTAATTTTTCAATTTATTTTAAAAAAATGTTCAAGTTTAGTAGTTTAAAACAAATTATTTATAGTTCAACCGATCATATTATATATATATATATA